TTCGTCGCCTAGAGCTATTTGTAAAAATAGTAAAAAGATGGGATGCCAATGAATAAATCATAAAAAAAATTATCTTGGCATGACCACATTAAGCCAGACGAAATATCCCAAACATCACATGAACGTGGCCGTTGTATTTTGTTAACCTAAGTTTAAGACATTACGCAAATCCAGGCATTACGGAGTGAAAAAGAAGAGCGCGGGAGAGAGATCTGAGAAACACTAATATTATTCCAAGGATGCGGTCTCACGTCCCTAGGCAAATATTCCAGGCAGAGATAAACTCACTCCAATCTCTTTTAAATCCTTTTCTTGCAGTAGCTGTAGAGGGTCAATAAAATTCTGCTTGATGGTGATATCTAGGGAATCTTTCACTTCTGCCATCTGCTTCATGCTTTCTCCCACATCGATCAGCGCAGCACCTTGTAAAGAAGAAACAACAGTCGTGTATCATATCGGGGAGGATTTATTAAAAAAAAAAAAGATTCAGCAGCTTTCTAACAGAAACTTAAAAGGCTTATTTTCATTTTAAGAAGCAGCAGGCAAAGAGAGAGGCCGTATTTCGTCACGCTCCTGCCTCCACGCTCTTCGCATCTTGCATCTCTGTTAGGTCCTCTGCTCAGGCAGGGACCCGCCCTTTTCTTAACAATCCAGATTTATGAAGTGCCGCTTGCAAGAACTACATAAACAATGCTGCGTGGCTGCAGAAGCTCACCGAAGGTGGAGTCCTCTCCCAGTTCTCCCCCGTATCGGAGCATACAGTCCCCAAGTAATCCTTCGGTCTGTGGGTATCCTGTGTCCTTGACTTGCCCTCGGATCTTGGAGACCGTGTTCAGCATTCCTAGTTTAGCTCTGTAGGCTTTAAAAGAGAGAGATTCATATTGAAAAGCTTAAAAAGATATACCGGGATTTCTATATGTCTGGAGAACATTTCTGCTCGTTGACTTCATGTCTCCAGAGCTGGAACGTTACTCTGTTATGCAGCCACCGTACAGCAAGTTGTCACCAACTTCATCCAGACCCATGGGGGCATTAATGGACTCCACAGGACAGGCAGTCCTCAACTTATGACCACAACTGAGCCCTGATTTTGTTGTTGTTAAGCAAGACAGTGGTTAAGTGAGTTTTGCCCCGTTTAACGACTCTGCTTGCCACAGTTGTTAAGTGAATGGCCCCCGTTGTCAGGTTAATAACATGGCTGTTAAGTGACTTTGCTTGTCAGAAGGATACAAAAGAGGATCACATGACCCCGGGATACTGCAACCATCATAAATACAAGTCAGTTGCCAAGCTTCCAGATTCTGATCACATGCTGCAATGGTCATAAGTGTGAAAAAATGGTCATAAGTCACTTTTTTTCAGTCCCTTTGTAACTTTGAATGGTGACTAAGCGAACTGTTGTAAGTCAACGCACAACGTAAGTATATATGGGTGGTCCTCGCCTTAAGACCACAATTGGGAGCGGAATTTCTGTCGCCAAGCAAGGCCGTCATTAAGTGAGTCGCACCCAATTTTACGACCCTATTGCCATGGGGCTAAGCCAGGGGTCTTCAAACTTGGCCCCTTCATGACTTGTGGACTTCAACTCCCAGAATTCCTCGCCAGCGTGCCAGGCTGAGGAATTCTGGGAGTTGAAGTCCCCAAGTCATAAAAGGGCCAAGTTTGAAGACCCCTGGGTTAAGCAAACCATTGCAGCCGTTGAGTGAATCACAAGGTTGTTAAGTGAATCTGACTTCGCCCATTGATTTTGCTCATCAGAAGCTGGCTGGCCACTTTTCCCAGTGTCGTCGTAACTGTGACGGCCATTAAATGAATGATTGCAAACTGAGGACTACCCCTAAACAGTAAGTAAAAATACAGCCAATAAAACTGCTACAACATAAAAACACATCTGTAGAAAAACCAACGAAGCTGTGGGGCACAGATCTGATGGATTGGTTCGCAAAGATGCTCGGTCGTTCGAAACATCTGGAACTCACAGAAAATATCTTGTTCCTACCTGGGTTAGGTTGGAGATATTCTGTAGCTTTGGATAAGAGTTCTGCCACCGCCTTGCCAGTGACATCGATTTTCTGCAAGAAGAAAATGAAACATCTTTAGGCGGGCTGTGCAAATCATTTTTCAATCGGAGTCATTTTTTTTAACTCAATACTTCCCATTTTACTTCCTAAATGAGAAACGAGCAGTTCTGAAACACTTCTAAGGTGGTTGAAACGACGCCCATTGGACACGGGTCAAGATGCTGGATTCAAAAGAATTCAATTTTGAACCATCGCTCATCTTTAACAATATATGACGGGGACTGTTTCTTTCATACATTACACGCAAATTTGTGCCAAGCTGGTGTCCTCTAGCTAGACCTTTTCCTAGCTATGGCCTATTTTAGAAAAAGGGCCTCTCAAGTTATAATTAGAAATAAATACCTTGCAATTAGCAGCCCGTATGGCAGACCTGCCTTACCTTCTCCATCTCTTGAAAGTCTCCATCAAGTTTTGTCCCTTCTGCTCCACTGATCTTCTCGCTGAAAAGCTGCAGGAGGAAAAGAATAACGATAAACCACCGCACCAAAGGACTCGCCATCAGGGAAAAAGGCTGATAGAACTCATATGCCCAAGGAAAACCAAGAATCTTCCTTAAACCCTGGAAACAGCATACCTAGCATATGTTTCATTACAACCAGTGGAAACACGATTGTAAAGAAAAACCCTAACTCATTCCCTTTGCTCCTCAGAAAGGCTGGCCTTTGGCTTTCAGCCACAACATCTTTCTGGAGATGAGACCTTGTATCACCAACTTATGTTTCAATGCTATAAACCAGTGATGGCGAACCTTTTAGAGACCGAGTGCCCAAACTGCAACCCAAAAGCCACTAATTTATCACCAGGTGCCAGGCAGTGCTGTGGAGTCGGAGTCGAGGAGTCGGAGGAAATTTTGGGTACCTGGAGTTGGAGTCAGAGTCGGAGTCGGAAGTACAAAAAAACTGAGAAGTCGGAGTCGGAACATTTATCTACCAACTCCATAGCCCTGGCTGTGGAGTCGGAGTCGAAGTCGAGGAGTCGGAGGAAATTTTGGGTACCTGGAGTCGGAGTCGGAAGTACAAAAAACTGAGGAGTCGGAGTCGGAACATTTATCTACCGACTCCACAGCCCTGGTGCCAGGTGGACGCGGCCCACTGGGTGGGCGTGGCTGTGGTGGTCATGGCAGACTGCTTGGGTGTGGCCAAGGTGGGCATGGTCACCTCAATGCTGCTCGTGGGGAGGGATGCCTGTGCGGAGGTGGGCAGGGGGGTCTCTGGCAGGTGGGGCGGCGGGCAGAAGGCTCGTCCTGGGGGGTGAGGCGAGGCAGGGCAGGGTGCCATTGTCGCAGGGCAAGGCGAGGCAGGGGCCGGGGTGGCTGCTGACTGATACCATCGGCCCCCACGCACAGAGGCCAGCGAGCGCATGGGGGCCGACGGTGTCTGTCAGCAGCCGTAGCCCGCCGCCAGCAGTTCAGAGAAGCCGCCTCTGAGCTGGATGGCTGGCCGACAGCTGAGGAGGTGATGCAGTGGGTCGTGCCCAGGAAAAGGAGAGCATGCGCAGCCAGGAGGGATGGGACGGGCGGGAGGGAGGGAAACCAGCCATGCCAGGATGCATCCAGCCACGTGGGACTTCGGCGAGTTAGTGCCTGGCTGGTTGAAGAGCGACGGTTGCCATCTCCGGGGCATGGCGTGCGTGCCCACAGAGAGGGCTCTGAGTGCCGCCTCTGGCACGCGTGCCATAGGTTCGCCACCACGGCTATAAACTAATCTTGTTTGTGCATCTCCTGAAATCCTGGGCCCCAAAGAGAAAAAGACTTCAGCCCCTCTCCACCAGGAATCAGCACTCAGATCAGCATAGGTTAACTCCAAGGTCAACTTCAGACCAACAATCAAGTAGGCAACACCCCAGTCAAGAAACTGCCCAAGAGCCATTAGTAAACAGCCCAACCAAGAATCCCTAAGACCACCCATCCAGACAGGCAAGACACCAGAATATAAACCAACAGCAAAACCCCACTCCTTACCAGCACTGATGATGTTACCTAGTTAGGGTAACGCAAAGTCTGCAAGAAACCAAGCAAGCTCAGAGGGCACCAAGGACCCCTCGCTATTTAGTGTATCATGTATGCGCACGCTTTGTATCACACAGGCCGCTTTGTCAGAAAAGGGAATTCCCATGTCAGATGCAGAAGGAGACTTATCTCCCCTCCCCAGCTTATCTTCCTGGCCTGCCCCCTCCCCTTTATCACTTTTGGGCCTCTACTGTTACCAGCTCCACCTCCAAACCACACCAGGTTGTAGCAGATGTTTCCTCAAGTCAAAGATCTTCAGGTTTCTATGAGCAATAAGAGTGTCTGGCCCCTTGTCCCACCCACATCACACACCCCTCCGTTAAATGTCTTCTACTCACAACTCACAGCAGTAACTATGGGCCGTTACAATAAATGCACAATTTGTGCAAGCCAGACCAATGAAAAGCAGTCCATTTCCTCTTTTTGGAGACCACCATTATGTGTGTGTGTGTGTGTGTGTGTGTGTGTGTGTGTGTGTGTGTGTGTGTGTGTGTGTGTGTGTGTGTGTGTGTGTGTGTGTGTGNTACTAAGATGGCTATTTGGAGTGTGTACTGCACCAGTCCTTCCTTCTCATTAGGTGGCCAAAGTATTTGAGTTTCAACTTCAGAATGAGGTGGCTGGATGGAGTCACTGAAGCAGTAGGCGTGAGCTTCAATGGACTCCAGAAGATGGTAGAGGACAGGAAGGCTTGGAGGAACGTTGTCCATGGGGTCGCGATGGGTCCGACACGACTTCACAATTAACAACAACAACAACAACTGCACCAGTGACAGTACAAAAGGCCAGCTCCATTTATTTAGAAGCACTCATCTGCAGTTAATATACTCAACCTGGCAAACATAATTCTTAGAATTGTGTTTCCTCAATGCTGTCTCTCAAGCTGGGGTTAATGGCGGCCATTAATCTTGTTATGTTAAGTCAAGTCAACAATCACAAGCCCCGGGGAGCAGTTTACTTCAAAGTTACCAGGTAACACCTTGTAAGCACATTCTCACAGATACAATAATAAAAGTGACATCATACTTGCGATGAGAACCAGGAAGCTAACCTGGGACTTTCAGCTTCTGGAGACAGTCACGAATATGCCCGTTTGTCCAAGATAATAATAATAATAATAATAATAATAATAATAATAATAATAATAATAATAATAATAATAATAATAATAATAATAATAATAATAATAATAATAATAGTAGTAGTAGTAGTAGTAGTAGTAGTAGTAGTAGTAGTAGTAGTAGTTGTAGTAAAGTTGGAAGGGACCTTGAAGGTCATCTAGTCCAACCCCCTGCTCAGGCAGGAAACCCTATACCATTTCAGGCAAATGGCTGTCCAGTCTCTTCTTAAAAACTTCCAGTGTTGGAGCATTCACCACTTCTGGAGGCAGGTTGTTCCACTGGTTAATTGTTTAACTGTCAGGAAGTTTCTCCTTAGTTCTAGGTTGCTTCTTCTCTCCTTGATTAGTTTCCATCCGTTGCTTCTTGTCCTGCCTTCAGGTGCTTTGGAGAATAGCTTGACTCCCTCTTCTTTGGGGCAGCCCCTGAGATATTGGAACACTGCTATCATGTCCCCCCTCATCCTTCTCTTCGTTAAACTAGACATACCCAATTCCAGCAGCCGTTCCTTATACTGTATGCTTTAGCCTCCAATCCCCTAATCACCATGCCAATCATATTTTCACCTCTGCTGTCTGCATTCTATTCATTGTTCACTCCATTGTGTTTCTAATTATTATTTCTATGAATGTATTTTGTTATCTAATCTTTGGGGAAAAAACAGTTTGGGGTTGCTGTTTGGAAACCTGAAGACTATGAGCCGGCGTGAAGTCAATTGGGTGACTTTGAGCCTGTCACTGTTTCTTAGCCCTAGGAAGGCGAAACCACTTACAAAAACTTGCCAAAAAACTGCAGGAAGAAATCGAGGCAGAATCAAACACACACACACACACACACACACACACACACACACCCCTCTGGAAAAAGCTCTAATGCTAGGAAGGCCCAGTTGCCTTTTGAAAAAGCACCTTTGGGACAACCATGATTTGGAAGTTTGAGAATCTCCCCAGACAACTGAATGGATAATATCCTCAACATCATCACACCATTGAAAGAGCTGAAAAACCAGGTTAGGGACAGATTGTCACAAAGACAATCTACCAATGTGGCTTGCTAGGAGTGGAAACCAACTTAATGGCCCATAATGAAAGAATGAATCAACCAGTCAAAGGTTACCTAAGGCTGGTCAACGACTGAAATGCAGGAATGTGAACATAAACCAGTGGGATAATGACTATCCTGAGCCCTAATATCATTGGCAACGGGGTCTTGTAACTTTGTACTTGCCCATTTATTTGTGTCTGCTCAGAAATAAACCCCACTGAGCTTCTGCGGCACGCAGCCAAGCTCTATAGGAAAATCCTTTCCCCTTTTTAAAAGAGCTTTTGTTGTGCTTAGGCAAATATCACCTCCTTGCTAAAGGCAAGGGAAAGAACATTTGAGATAGAGACCTCGGAGAAAATGTGGGCTTAATCTTGAAGCTCGTAGCAACTCTACCCACACAATAACATTGCCCATACTTCTGGCCACCACAATGTTAGCCCTTGAATATTTGATTGCCTCTTTGGGGAAAAAAATCTGTTATTTGAAAACTTGCAAAGTGATTTTTTTTTTAAAGGAAGAAGAAGAAAGTGGAGTTTCTCCAGCCCCTGTAGCCATGACATGATGGGAAAAGATTTTAACAAAAGGGCCACAAGGTTGCAACAACATGAGCCTGTTGTTTGCTACAAGAGAGAAGCAACACTAAGCAAGACTCCTTGGACACAATGTTAAGATTGACAGCAAACTTTTGTGGTGGAAACCAGAGAGCAACAATATAGCCTTTCAAAGGCTTTCTTCTCCCTTTTATTTCTCTACTTCCCAAATCAAGCTGGGATCATATATATTTTTTGCTTCTGTTTGGCCTAGGTACGAGCTCACCATTTCCCCCTTTCTGTTCTTGAGCTGGAGACAAAAGACAAACATTAAAAAAAAATAAATACTCAAGAGATCTAATTTGGCCAAATCCCGCTACGGTCCCGTAAATAAACATCTTCTTATAAGTAGCTTCTAAAAAAAGCTGGTTGATGTTTTACTCTGTTTTCACAGCTTGGCAACTGGAAAAAGAAACTTTGCACAAAAGAGATGTAAAACAAAATGTGTTTTCGAAACCAAAAGTAGATTTGAGAAGACACGTTTGTGACCTGTACATTTTACTCAAGTTTATTAATTTTAAGATGGTAAATGACCCCCAAGGAGCTGATAGCTGATAGCAAGTGTTGGGTGCACTGGGCTCCAAAGAAAACGCTCGTGAATTAATATTTGTGGGATGCAGTGGGAACCTGTATGGAGAAGCAACTTATGCAATTACAATACTGGAGAGAAAGGCTACTGCAAAAACTGAAG